TGTGTGTGTGTGTGTGTGTGTGTGTGTGTGTGTGTGTGTGTGTGTGTTAGGACATCTCTTTGTGTTAGTATGTTTTCTAGTACACGCGTGGGCCTAATTGAGCATGCTTACGAGTGCTCATGTGTATGCATGCAGTGTTTCCTCCCTTTATGCTGCTCTTGTTTGTGTCCTTGCATGAAGCTCCGCATATATCTGTGCCACTCGTGTTTCTCTAGGTGTGCGATTGGATGAGTGCGCTTATGTGTGAGTGTGTGTGTTGGCGTTGTCATCATTAGCCGAACAGGGCTGACGGATGGCCGTATGATTATGAAATATGAGTCCTGTAATGACGCCCATGGCATTTCACATCCACATCGATCCCACGCACTCTCATAGCAAGTGTGTGTCTGTACGTGTGTGTGTGTTTGCAGCCGCACATTTTTGCGCATCCCTTCCTTTGGTAATCCTTAAAGTGTGCGAGAGCACACGGGATTGTATGACTGCGTGTGTGTGTGTGTGTTTGAACGCACTTGTTAACAAACCAACTCGTGCTTTGAATGGAAGATTTGCATATTAAACAACAACAACAACTAAACATGATTTATGCCAGGATCTGTCACAGCAACAGCACTCGAACAGAGCGCCTTTCTGGCTCCGCACTGCCTCCTTCTCATTTGCCTAATACGATTTAGTGCATTGTGCGCGTCTGCGTACATGCGTGTGTATTGTATGTCAGTATTTAAACGTGCCAGCGATTGTTTGTGTGTGTGTGTGTGTGTATGTGTGTGTGTGTGTGAGTGAGTGCCCGTGCCAGTGGCATTATATGACACAAGACTGTATCTTTCTCTGCTTGGTTTAACATGAATAATGCAGCATGTGTCACAGTCTGAAAATAGTATGGAGGACACACACAACATTGTGCAATAAACATATGTCTTTTTTAACTGGGCTAATCTGACAGTGCCAGTCACAGCTAGTCGCCCACGCAACACAAGGGGCTCAGAAAGCTGAGAGAGAGAGAGAGAGAGTGCGTGCGTGCGTGCGTGTGTGTGTGCGTGTGTGTGTCTTTTAAATCTAGCAGCAGACGAAAGAGATTCAAACAACAGATTGCGTGAGAAATATCACATCCAATTCCTCAGGAAAACAGACTTTTTTTGTTTGTTCCCACCGCGCTCAGCACGCGGAGGGAACCGCGTGCTGACAGTCGCAGAGAAAATCAAGTCGCACAAAAGTTGTTGGTGTTTCTTTTGTCGCTGGTTCCTCTTTTGAAGATGATCTGTAACCGTTTCTGCTTTGTGAGATGATACGGAGCGGAGAGAGGGGATGACATAAGATATAATACGATGAAACTTTGCTAATCCACGTGGGGAACCGGGCCGGCGCAGCAGCATATCTCCGAGGAAATTCCAAAGGAATTTAGCATGTAAAAAGAACGGAGCAAATGGGGGTCATCTAAATGCTCGAAGCTGGCAATTCCAACACTACATTAAAAGGAAATGTATAGATCACAGCATTACAGAATAGACATGGTTTGGGTTTGTGTAAAAAAAAAAAAAAATCGGTTTGATCGTCAGGTCTGTTTGAGTTCCCACATTCCCAGATCTGATTAACTAACATGATGAGTACAATCTCATTCATAGCTACTGCATGAACAGGTGTGTGGAACAGCACCTGGACTCGTGTCTGGTGAGTTCTCAAACCCTAAGCCCTGTTTTGTTTCCAGTGTGCATTGTTTCGTGCTTCTATGGGGAATTGAATTAATGAGGATACTATTGTGTCATATACAGGTGCTGCTCTGAGTTAAATATGGAGGGCACATACCTGGAACATCCTCTCCATCACCACTTGTTTCCAGTTTTGCCGCCCCGCCTCTGCTCCTCTCGTCAAAAACATCATATTTATTTTCACTCTCGCATTTTGTCTTTAATTTTTCCCTGTGACCGCTCATCCTCAAAGAGTATAACTGCTTCATCTTAGGATATTGATGTTGCTCGTGCGTGGGTAATTACAGCAGCATTATGGATCGGCTGACCCCTGACGATTTTGGTCACCTCTTGAGGCAAACCTCGGCCACAGCTGAACGATTTTAACCCGCTAATGTTTGCACAGGAAACGCTGATACTTCACTTATAAACACCAAAAACTGTGGGTCGTCTCTATCAATAACTATGCCAATGTGTACGTCTTTTAAAGAGCGAGGATCTGATAGCTGCCCTCACATCATAATGGACTGTGTGTGTGTGTGTGTGTGTGTGTGTGTGTGTGTGTGTGTGTGCTGTGCATTGGAAGCTAAAAAAAGAAGAAAATATATTAAATTCCTGAGTTGATAAGTGGGGGCTCTCCCCTGGTGAGAACACATGAGATAAATTTGCCTCAGGGAATTCAGGAAACACACACGCGACACACACACTTGCATACAACACTCCGTGCGTGAGCCGGTGTGTGAGCCGTTGTGCGGTCCTTTACTCAAGGTTCGCATCTTGGTAAAGTATGTCTTACATATGCGTATATCCATGTGAACGCTTGCGTGAGGGGGGGGGACCAATAGCTGCAGACGAGCACGCCAATTGCTTCCATAATTCAGCCGCGGCCTCCTTTCCTCTCCGTCTGTCTGGGGAATTAACTGCCGCACCGTGTGATATTGCTGATATATTAATCTGCCTGCGTATTACCACTGCAATGATTGCTTTCCCCGAGCACTGCTCTCACTGTTTGAGGTGTATTTCTGAACCACGCATTGTGTGACATTCCCCACTCCCAGGAGGCACTTGAATGAGTATGAAGTATCTATACATCTACATGTACAAAATTACATTTTCCGTGTGTGTGTGTGTGTGTGTGTCTCCAAACAGAGTGCTCGCGTTTGCACGTGAGAATGAAATCACACACTTTCTGCTGCAAATTAGCGAGAGCAAATGTTTGCTCAAACCCTTGGAACGTTACACCAGGCTGGGGCTTTTGCGCACTTAAAAGGCGCACTATACAACAATCTCCTTTTTAAGGCACGGCAGCAACCCTCTGAAATACAAATCAACTCGGCGTTCAGCTTCACAAGGCTGACAACAGCTGCATTAAAAATGCAATTAAAGGCGGGTTTCCCCCCCTTTCTATTCAGATGCAATCCCTGACAGATGTGCTATTATTCACAAGGTCAGAAAGAGTTTGCCGTTACAGTCTCGTCCTAATCCATGAAGAGTGTTTGATGATATAAGAAAGAAAGAGTACGAAGGAGACTGGTCGAGGAAAGACAGAATAAGACGAAAGAGAAAGGATGCAGACGAACATGCAGAAGAGACGAAACGGGAACAAATGACAAAAAAAAAGACAAAGTGAGCAGGGGAGACCGGGGCACCCTCGAGAGCGTAATGATGTGGTGTTGATTTCTTCCACGGAGGCATTATGCATTGAGAGGGTGATGGTAATGACGCCACACAGAGCACACTAGAACAGCGAGCAGGAAACCTCATTAGGACAAGAGTGGGTCTCGGGTTTGTGTCAACTCGTGCTTGTGAAGTGCTCCTGAAGCGGGAAAAACATCGCGGTCCGCTCCAGACGAGCAGGACCGCGATCATCCAACCTCTCCTAACGAAGGCAGCCTTAATGAGCAAATGGTTAATGAAGGGGGACTTAATTGTCCTTCTGAAATTATTTATTACTTTCCATTTGCTGAGTGTTGCTCGGGGATGATTCATTTAGTCGAGCCATATGTAGGCCTAATGGGTGAACGCAGATGCAATTGGATTTGTTTGCAGCTCAATGGTGCCAAAAACACTGAAACAGGGGAAATACCTTGAAGGATCTCTTATGCAGGGCAGACAGAGCTAACTTAACTAACTATTTTCCTTAGATGCCATTTTCTATTGCATCTATAAATATAAATAGTTATGTAGAAAGGGAATGGGAATATTAGGTAAATGCAATGCTGTATATGAAGAATATGACAGAATATAAGTACAGTATTAGTGACACCAGCCAATCCAGTGGTTACCTTTTTCTGTTTTTATGCAAAAATAAAGACATTTATGTATGTGGTTTGTTATTTACTTGGAGGGTTTTTGCGCATATCTGTTTGTTTTCACCCTTTTCTCCCCATTTTTCATTGATTTCCTTTTACCTGAAGTATTTCCATTGAAAGAGGAGCTCTCTAACTGAGACATGCAACAATACATCTTGATATCGTATAAGTCTGATACTGACTCAGATAGCTGGATCTGTGAGGACGGGCTGATCTGGACACCATTCAGATATCTGTGGATATTTATTTGTTACATTTTGTTTTACCAAGTTAGGAAAACTAAGGATTAAGTCAAGCTTGATGTTGTCTCACACATAAAAGAATGATCCCACTCACTTTCACACAGCGAGGCAAAC